TTTTTCTATTTTTAATTAAATAAAAAGTTACCAAAAGTTTTATATATAATTTGAAAATCGTATACTCTACCCTTAAATTTTTATCATTAGTATGTTTTAAACTTACAACCTACTACTTAAAAAATTGACAACTTATTCATTTTACTAAGTTGTTACACCTTTAATTTTTAAATTTTAATCTGGTTAAATTATAAAAACCAAAATATTTTTTTTATATAATCTTAGTTAAATTTAATAATTTTATTATTACATCTTAAAATTAAAAAACTTACTTAAAAGTTAAAAATAACTTATTTAATATATTTTTTAAAAAAAAATTTGCAACTAAATTTATATATAATTTTAAAATATTGTACTTTATTCTAAATTTAAACAAAATTTAAAATAATGCTTATAGGCATTATTATACAAAATATCAAATATAGTAAATAAATATTTTAAACAATTAAAATTCAACAGTTAATTAATTTATAAGCAAAAACTGGATGGGTTAATCAAAACAGTTTAATAATAATTTTAATAATTTAATTACCATAAATCGCTATATTGAGTATTAGTCAAAAACCTATATAATACTATAATTTTCGTATAATCATCCGTCAATATGCAATGAACAGTTTATGTAAACTTTATAAACGGTTTTATGTAACTAGTTAAAACTAGTTTATGAGTTCGTTATCAATATTTATCGACTTTTTACATTATCTAATATAAATAAATTTGATATGCATATCGGTTTTTTTAACATGTTTTTATTTGCGTTAGAGTATAAATCGACACGTGCATTTACGCGTATCTAAATATAAAAATGTGAGGCGCGTCTCAAATAGACTATGACACTTTCGCGATCATCTGATTTCCTTTTTTGAGAATCTCCGAATAAGTTTAACGCGGAAATCTTAGATCAGCAAAATACAAATGACAACAATAATAACGCGTTATTTGATCAGGCCAATTGTTATAAAAGGGATGGATTTTCCCCTTTCTCTAATTCTTATTCACTAAAAATAACAATATATCTTGAGTTCTTTATATACCTAAAAAAATAAACTTTTTTTAAAAAACCTCTTTTCCTCTAAACTAATACAATAAACATGTCTGGCCGTGGTAAAGGTGGCAAAGGTCTCGGAAAAGGCGGCGCAAAACGTCATCGCAAAATTCTTCGTGACAACATTCAAGTAAATAATAATACCTTCGACTCATCAGTTTAAATTTTTTTTTTTTTTTTTTTTTTTAATTACTTTAAGTAACAAAGTTTTGTTGATTTAACTTATAGGGAATTACCAAACCTGCTATTCGCCGTCTCGCACGCCGTGGAGGTGTAAAACGTATTTCCGGCCTTATTTACGAGGAAACACGAGGTGTACTTAAAGTTTTTCTCGAAAACGTTATCAGAGATGCCGTCACGTATACGGAACATGCAAAACGCAAGACAGTAACTTCTCTCGATGTTGGTGTGTTGAAGAACTTTATTATTATTATAGTTAATTTTTTTTTTTTTTTTTTTTATAAAAATTTTCTTGTACTAAAATTATGTTTCGTTTTGGTGAAATAGTATACGCTCTTAAACGACAAGGACGTACTCTTTACGGTTTCGGAGGTTAAACTAAAAGTTAGAATCGAATATTTAAATGTCTAAATATTCAAAACAATTATATAGCCTTTACATAGTCATTACAAGTCATTACAAAACCATTATTATAAAATGTTAAAGATTATAAACACTTATTTTTAGCTGCTATACAACTATACAACCATTACATTACTGTTAGACTGTTTAAACTATTATATAAAATTTGTTATATAACAAACTGTTATAATAAGTTGCAATAATAAATAATTATTACCAAAGTTATCTTTTACATTTAGAAATTAATAAAGTATACGTAGCGAATTGTCTTTTTAGTATATATGGGAATAATTTTTGTACTTATCCATATTAGTTTGTGGCTTGCTTTGAATAAACTTGAAATATATTTGGTTTTTTTTTCGTGTATATATTATTTCAATATGGTACTTTAATATCCGTTATTATAAAGTTTTTATTTTTTATGTTATCAATTTTAAAATTTTTTTGTTACGAACTTAGTCTACAACGTGTGAAGTTGATCCGGAAGTTTTGCAAAAACTTCAAAAGTTTAGATTTGGGAAAAGGTCTCAAAAAGGGACTTCGGCTTTTGTTTGTAAGTTTTTTTTCTTAAATAAATTTAATCGATTTTTAGACCATTTTTTAAAGTGAAGCCCTTTTTATTAGTAAAGATTGATGTGGAGAAGTTGTTAGTCGTCGAAGATGTGCTATACGATGATACATCTTTAGAAGATCTTGTTGAAGGTACGATATTGATTCTTTTACATACAATTAAGACCTGTATCTTACAGAAGTTTTAACTTTAAGAGCTTCCTGAGAATTCACCAAGATATATTGTTTTAAGTTATGAGGTATAAACGTTAGAAATATTCTAATTTGGCTTTATTGTCATTTATCATTTTAATATTTCTTAACTTTCATCAATAGCTTTCTCATCGAGATGGTCGTAAATCATTCCCGCTAGTAT